CCCCAAAACCCCAAAACCCCAAAACCCCAAAACCCCAAAACCCCATTTGGAATTTTCGGAGTTGAATTTTTAATTTTCTCTATTTTTTGGACTGTCGCTTCTTATGGAACATACTTATTTTGGACCTCTTTTTGATTTTGAACCTAAGAGTGAAGAGGTGGGTTTACTTTTTAGAACTGGAAAGTCTGGGATTTGAAGATTTCTTATTTTCTGTATCAAAGATTGATTTAGCCGATGATTCTATATTCATTATGTGATAAATTAAGCTTATGTACCCATCCGAAGAAAAGGAGTATTACTTATGGAAAATACTGCTTACTCTTGGATAAATTGAACATCACATTGTCGAATCTTTGAAGAGGTATTGCCTCTATGTCACCAAGGACGTATTTATTCTTTGGAGTATTATCATATTGCCCGCTCATCTAAAGTCAGACTTGCTGAACTACCTTTTTAGCAATAAATTTGGCTTTATTCACTATATTGCTATTTTGCTTTGGAATGATTTTTATGAAGGATTTGTGCACTAGATGACTTCTTTCCTTTAGCAAAGGACTTCCTCACCTCCATTTGTGAATTGACCTGCATTAGTAAGTCATGCTTTTCAGCTGCCATTCCCCAGTATTTATTCCTTTGAAGCTTTTTCTGCTTATACATTTTGTTCAGCAGAGCGTACTGTACTGAATTGATTCAAGAATGAGGCTGGAGATGTATCAATTTATTTATTATTTTTCTTCTTTGAGGAGCTATTTTTGGAACGAGAATTGCTTCTTCTAAAGTCTCGAATTCAAGCTTACTTCTGTATTATCTTTTCTTGCAGTCGAGGAATTTCATTTGTTCTGAATTGACCATCTTTGCTCCCCAGGAGTTGACGAGGTTGTCTACTTTCTTTATTCTCACTGAAATGAAATTTAGAGGGGTTATTTTGGTTTATTTCATTCCGGCCACCTAAGAAATAGCATAGTCATTACCTTCAAGAAGTTTGGAGCTTTTTACAAAACGATCAAAGTAATCGCCTACGCTATCAGCAGTTTGTTGGTCAATCTTCTTCAGGCTTTCGAGGTCCTGGTTGAACTGTATATTCTAAGAAATTTTATCACAAATGGCTTTCAGGAATTCTTACTTTAGTATTTTTTGGAGAGAAGTTGTTAACAGATCTGTAATTCAGAGTATTCTTGCCTTCTCTGACATCCATTGAGGAGAACACTTTCTTCCTCTCTAAATCTGCTGTTGGAGTGACACTTGTGTTTAACACCGAAGTTTCAGCGGTGAGGAAATTAGCAGGCTGATTTTGCTGTTTTAATACTTTTGGATGATCCTGAATGGTAAATTAGATAATTAATTGAGAGGTTATTTACTTCTTGTCGGTATACCTCTTATTTTTATCGCCTAAATAACGAGATTTTGCAGTTTTATGAAATCTCTTTTTCATCCATTTTATGGTTGAATTAGTTTCAAGATGGTTTTCCTAAAAACAAGATGTCATATAATGAGCTAGATTGGGATAATTTACCTTTGGAGCTCCTCCCTCGGACATCATCTTGATGAGAACTCTGTAGTCCATATTGATTCAATAAAATTAGGAATAAAAGGGGTTTTGGGGTTTTGGGGTTTTGGGGTTTTGGGG